GTGGTTTTTTTTTTTTTCCCTTCCTTCACAAAAAACGGCACAAACCAAATATCCTATACACACCGTACCTGTGACTCTTTTGTCAAGATAAACCAATGGAAAAAGCAATCATTAATTTTGACTGGCCCCTTGATCTGCTGAGGTCTGTAACTGTAAAAGTTTATGTAAACAATGAGATAAATATATTAATTTTTTTTTCCGAGCCAAGTGAGGTTCCATAGTCATTTAAATGTGCTTTGGTTTAAAAAATAGGGGTTTGTTTTTTTGTGTGTGTGTGTGTGTGAATTTGGATAGGAGCTATCTTTTAATACAACTTTTTTTAAGTTATTATTATTATTATTTTATAATCCACTCTGGGAACTCCGAAAACATTCTGGATCTAAATTGATTAAAGCATAGAGTTAAACTGTCGGGCCTCTGTAATCTTACCTTTTTAAAAAAACAAAACAAAGCAAAACCCAACCTCAAGAGGCTCTTTTATCTCAAAAAAAAAAAAAAAAAAAAAAAAGAGTAGCAAATTAAAATAAATTTTAAAAAAAGGAACAAAGAGAAAGAGAAACTGAAACCAGAACCAAGTGTATGTACTTCCCTCCCCACCCCACCTTAGAATTCTTAAAATCTTAAATATGAAACTAGTGTTTTGCTTTTTTTCCCCATTAATACAGAAAATGTTTTGATACAATACTACGTCGTATAAATGTAGTTTGAGTGTCCAGACCCTTTAAGCGAGCCTTGAACATTCCCTGAAGTTTTGAGAATTATTTGATTATTTTTTCTTTTCATTATTATTGTCACCATCTTAAGGGAGGACGTGGGGGAAAAAGGAAAGGGATGGGAGGAAGGACGTCAAAATTCTATCTATGGAACACTTCTACACGGCTACTTTTGCCCAAAAAAGGGTGAAACAATGAAAAAGAAACGGTGGGGGGGGGACGTTCCTTTTTTTTTTTTCCTCATTTTTGTACAATACTCACGCTGTACACAGACTTTTTGTCGTACTGTTTAAGTGCTGAGAGGGGATGAAAGAAAAAAGCAAGCTTAAGGAAAAAAGAAGAACAAGTGGAGACCCAGTTACCGTGGGTCCTGAAACTTCAAGATTCCCAAACTTCAATCGGAAACCCAACGAAAAGAAGTCCCAAGTCCACTTGAGGTGATCCCCTCCACCCAGCCTCAATACCCCTAAAGTCTTGAATCTCAACTCAACATTTCCAGTAAAACAGAGGCATGGTTTCCTCTTTGCACTTGTTCCACGCTCCTGGACTCCTCTTTGGATTAACTGAGTGGACCTTTCCTGGATGGCAATGTAGAAGTACCACATAGAAGTTGATAACTCACTTCCATAGGTGGTTGGACCTCCAAAGTTCTGGCTTAGTAACTAATACTTCCTAAAGTTCTTCAGTTCAGTTGCCCTAAAGATCAAACAGCACCAGCTGGAAGAGGAACCATCCCAGAAAGAATGACATGGACCAGCAATGGCCATGATTCTGGAACAAAGACAGTTGGGGGTTGGGGATTTAAGTGTCCTTTTTCTGAAAGGATGGTGAGGTAGGAACAAAGTATCATCCTCAACTCTCAACATTAGACCGTACGGTTTGCTAGCCCAAGGCATGGCTTTTGAAGGCATCTCAAAGAGTCAGAAAAGGACTGGAGATGAACAGAAGTGGGAGTGTAGTCTGGGGATTTATATTCTTGAAAATTATGATGCCCAAGCATCAGGTCAAAAGACAGTCCACTGAGGCTTTCTACTCTCAAAACTTCTACTCCACAAATGCTGACTTGAGGAGAGGTGGGTTTTTTTTAATTTAACCAGAAGTGAACCATCTATTGAGGTTCCTCTCAAAAGCCAGATGGTGGCTGCAACATCTGAGTCACAGAACTGAGAAATTCTGCACACATCTAGGGCATGGCATGGGGCCTCCCAGCTCATTAAACCTTTGGGGTCTTGGCATAAAGCACTTTTGTTAACAAAACCGCCGCCTTACCACTAGAAGAAACAGCTCCATTGAGGTGCAACTGTCTCCACCTTCAAGAACGGGGGGGGGGGACCCTCAAAATTATCTGGAAATATGAAATGTGTTTCAGTGCTCTGTGCATAAAGTTTAAGAATAAAGGGTTGATGGGGATCTGGGTGGAGGGTTTTTTTGTTGTTGGTGGGGGTGTTACATTGCTTGCAAAAAGCAAGGCATGATGGGTCAATTTTAGAAAAATGGGAAAAAAAAATGAGGTTTCACAGGAAGATGGCTGTGGGTTGCTGAGGGTGGGGGAGTACAGTTTTCACATTAATGTTCCACAAAAATTAGACACAAATTAGTGACCCACAAAAAAAAATATTAAACCGAGCTGCGGCACTACACAAAAATCCCCAAAGCTGAGGACGTATGGAATTGAAAAATAGTCCCCAATGAAACGTGAGGTAAAGATCCTTAAGAAGGGGAGGACAAACTTCCCCGCACCATGGCTCATAATTGGTCGTCTGAATGCACAGCGGGTGAAATGGGGAATCTTGGCTTCCTTAACCCAATATGTATTTGTCTCTATCCTAATAAGAGGGGAGAAAAAGACTTAAAGGTGGTGGTGGGAATGGAATAATCCAAGCTTCCCTTTGTTTTATTTGAACACGCTGACTTTCTTTTTTGGTCTAAACTTAAAGACAAAAATAGGGCTTTGGTGACCCCTACCGTAATAATAATAATAATATTAATCATCATCATCATAACAATTATAAACAGAACAATGGTTTCAAGCAAGAAAGTTAAAGCAGAGGCAAGGGAAATGTAAACCTTACTCCATTCAGACAGGCTGATGCTCAAGAGAGAGTCGGGGTTTTTACCCACCGGAGTCCACCTGTACGGGTTGGGGTGCAGCCATCACTTGCCATACCTGGTCGTGCCAACAAAGTTGAGGGCCACCAAACAGCGGGCGGTTTCCTGTCCCTCATCTCCTACACCTATAGCAGCTGTTGGTGGGGAGATCTTTTGACAGCGTATGGCTTTCCATTCTCCTGGCCGCCCCAACCTGAACACGTGGATCCGTGCGTGCCCTTAAGCACGAAGACGCAAGGTGGAAGAAGCACCCACCCAGGTCAGCATTCCACCACACCCCCCAAAAAGGAAAGAAACGAAAGACTTTGGTTGGGTTCTCCACATTCTTATTGCACTCTGGATCCTAGTGGGACCACCAGCTACGCCGTTGACTTGTCTTATCTGGCACCTATCTAATGATGGGCAAGCAACGGAGAAATGGCGTTTCCCCCACCACGGCATCCAGGTTCAATAAACAAGGCTACCCAAAAAGCTCTTCTAAAAAAAGGTTTTCTTTGTGGACAGAAACCCCAGTGATTTGGTGGCACCACATATCTTCTCCGGACCTCCAGCTTAGAGTCTACTTATCGTCTTTGGCCATGCTTTTGTGTTTCTATCTTTTCAACTGACTTTCTGACGGAAGAATGAGGTGGCAAAAAAAAAAAAAAGTCCCTTAACCTTAGTTTAATTTCTACTTTGTACACTAACTTACCACTGGGGGGGGGGAATAGGTTGGGAGGGTTGGGACAAAACACCACATCTAATTATTTCACTAACCATCTTATTGTTCTTGTGAATTCAAGAGGTAGAAAAGGAAGTGGGCCTTGCCATTGCGACCCAATTCTTTAGTGAAGGAGGAAAAAGCTAAGTGTACGCATACACACACCCATGCACGCGTGCAGACAGACACACACACACGCACCCCAAATAAAAAAAAAAATGAAAAGGTACCTAAAGGAACTTGTAGCCATTCCAGCCTACTTCAATTCCCGCTGTCCCGCCCAAGGTCCCTTTCCATTCCGACAGTTACATCAATATGAACATGTTTTCCTCTTAATAGGACAAGTACCTCTAAGCAAAAGATATTCATACAAAAACTAAGGGGGTGGGTGGGTGGTTGGGAAGGAAATTAACACAGATATGACCCCTGCTCGTTTGAAAGAAATTCCTGGGGGGGGGTCACTAGGCCCCCATTCAGTCATGGATAAGGCTAGAGAGATCAAAAGAGGTTGAGAAGGAAAGTTGGACCAGAAGAAGTTCAAGACTAGGGTGTGAAGGTTAAGGCGGACCAGCTTTTCCCTTAGAACTTGATGGAGAAGGGACAGTTGGAAGATGGAAAGCACCACATCAAAATGGAGGGGTGGCAACGGGACTTCCCTCTCTTTCAGCCAATGGAAACGTCCTTTGTGCTCTTCAGGAGACACCAAGAGACCCACCACCTTCCCCAAGGAAAGAACGAAGAACAGGCTGGTTTCCATGGGCAAGGAACATCTCCCACTGCAGCTTTGAGGGACGACCATCCATTTAAACCAGATCCAACTTAATCCACCCCCCCTCAAAACCCCAAAGGATTAAAGAAGCAACAAACAAACAAACAAACAAACAAGGCCGTCCATTGGCCACAAAAGGGTGTCCCCGGAGTTGGCCAGAAGAAAGAAAAATAATACTGTGGTGGAAGTTCTATCATAGCAATTCCAAAGTGCTAAGAACGTAAACCGAGGGAGTGAGGGCCGTCCCTTGTTTCCATTACTAAGACCACCTTAGCCCCCCCCCCTTCCCGTGAGGCCCTCAATTTGACTTGGCATCAACCAGGAAGGGCTTCCTAGACCGTCCCTCATTCTCTACAGTGGACATCCTCTGAAGGTCCATGTCAACTCCAGGGGCATTCCTTGCTCCACTTCTGACCCCGACAGGCCCTGAGAGAAAAGCTGATACAAAAGGAAGGGGTCTGGAAGTTAAATTGGGGCTGGGTTTTTTTTTGGGGGGGGGGAGATGGGAAAGAGGAAAGACTGGGGGGGAGGGAGGGGAAACAGGGAAGAGAAAGAAAGAAGTAAAGCTCTGTTTGGTTGACACTTTCCATGACTGAAGAGGGTGAGACGAATGTCCCGTGTTTTGTATAGTTTGTTTTAAAGCAGCAAGTCTAAGGGATATTTATGGTGGACAGGTGGGTGGGTGGGTGGGTGGGTGGGAGGGGCTCAGAGCTCCTTGGAGAGACTTTGGCTTCATGTAGGAGAGGTATGCATTCTCAAGTGGCTGATGAGGTTTCGTTGCTGGGTAAATTTCCCGCCGCAGAGTTGACATTCGTAGGGCTTTTCCCCTGAGTGGACGCGCATGTGCTCGGTCAGCCGGTACTGCCGGGTGAAGCGCATCCCGCACTCCTCGCAGGCAAAGGGCTTGAGTCCCAAGTGGCTGCGCATGTGCCGAGTCATAGTGCCCCGCTGGGTGAACATCTTGCCGCAGATGTTGCACGGAAAGGGCCGCGTCAGCCAGTGAGTCTTCTCGTGCTGCCGGAGAGTGGCCGGATCTTTGTAGCTCTTCTCGCAGACCGAGCACTTGAACGGCCGCGATTCCGAGGCGTAGGGCTGGTTGGGGTTCGATAGATCCTCGGCTTCTTCTTCTTTATCATCAAACGTCCCTTCCTCCTTGATGTACAGCTCTTCTTCCGTGTGTTTCTCCACGTGGGCGTTGAGCTGCTCCGAGCTGGGGAAACCCTTCCCGCATGGGATACAGACGTACAAGTTGTCCCCAAAGGCGACGGGTTCGTAGCCTTCCTGACGGTAGACGTAGTTGGCGCTGCTGTGACCGCCGTTCTCGCTTTCGCTCTGCCCGCTGTCCTCGCTGTTCTCCTTGCCGTTCTCCACGTCTTCTTTGCAGGCATGCAACGGCGGCTCCGGCCCGTAGGGACTCAAGCCTAGACTGCGCTCCGCGGACTTGCACAAGGGGCCCATCAGGATGCCGTTGGGCAGCCCCTCGCCCTCCTCGCAGCCTTTGCCCCCACCCTCCTTCCGGTCAAAGGCGCAATCCTTCTTGATCCACTCCTTCTTGCGCGAGGAATGACGTAGGCTCTTCCGCTGGCTGCCTTCGGGCAGAGACTGGCGGTCTTCGTTCAGATCCATTTCCATGGGCTCACAGTTGTCTATTAGGGCAGGAGGGGCTCCAGAGGTGGCGTCTTCGAACGATGAGGCACTGTTGGCTGTGGGGGCTGAGGCAGGCCGGGGGGAGCCACGCTGACTCTCGCTGTGTGGGGGTTCATCTTGGGGGGCTGCAGTGGGCAGGGAGGGGCTTTTCTTGGACAGATCCAGCCCAAGTTCCTGGTCCACACAGCTCCCGTTGGTGCTGTTACTCCCCTCTCCCAGGCCCCTACTCAAGGCGTGGGAATTCTCTTGGTTGGAACTGTTCATGAAGACCTCATCACCTGAGACCTTCGCCTTTGGCATCTCCTTCGGCTGAGGGCCCTTCATCCCTTCGGTTGACCCTGAATAACGAGTGATGACGGAAGCGGTGGCAAGTCTCTGACTCCGAGGCGGCCGCCCAACGCTGGAGGCTCCACCAGCCCGGCCAGTGAAGGACCTCCCGCTGCGTTTGAGCTTCTTCCTGCAAAGGGCCGCCAGGTCAGGAAGTTGGAGGTAGCTTGCTGCGGTGAGGAGAGCGTTGAAGTTCTGTTCCCCGGGCTGGTCAGTCATTAAGAGCTTCCCAGTATAAATAAAGTCCAAGATTTGCCGGAACACGGTAGGGTTGACCATGTCAGTATCTAAGTTGATCAGGTTGTCGTGCAAGATGAGGGACTTGAAATACATGCTGCTGGCTGCCAGGATGTTCTTGTGGGCACGGAAGAGGGCATTTTCGACAACAATGATCACGTCGCAAAGGAAACCTTTGGCTCGTTGCTGGTTAAGCTGCAGGAGCAAATGTTTGGCATGATTTGGCAGTTCCATCTCCACCTTGTCTTCCCTTTCCTGGTCACCTGATCACCTAAAAGAGAGGACAGGAAAAGAAGGACAACAAACGTGAGTCCATTTCATAACTCCACTGGCATGGAATTACAACCGTTCCTCTCCTAGGTACCCAAAGGAGGAATGGACTTCAATCCCCAGAATTCTCTGTTAATGATTATCCAAGCTAGGAATTCTGGGAGGTAAAGTTCACCTAATCCGGCAGGGACCTAGACTGGAGAACCTGAATTATCTATTGCTTAAGACAGTGATGGTGAACCTTTTAGAGACTCAGCGCCCAAACTGCAATCCAAAACCCACTTATTTATCGCAAAGTGCCAGGGCCACATCAGCATTGTGGTGCCCTCGGGGGGTGTGGCCCACTGAGTGGACGTGGCCAACTCGATGTTGTTCTGGGGGGAGGATGCCTATTGGGCAGGGATGGGGGAGATCCAGGGGGTCTCTGGCAGGTGGGGCGGTGGGCAGGAGGCTTGTCCTGCAGGGTGAGGCGAGGCCTTGGGGACTCCCGTGCTGGGCGGGGCTGAGGCGGCGGGGGCCAGTCCAGTGCCATCTCCAGGGCATCCCCGGGGGGCCAACACCGCTTGCTCTCTCACTTCCTGCCCCCCGTCGCTTCCAAACGCCATGTGCTCACTATTCTGGTGAACACTGCTGGGGCGATGGCGCGCGTGCCCACAGAGAAGGCTGTGAGTGCCGCCTCTGGCATGCGTGCCATAGTTTCACCACCACCACCACTGGCTTAAGACAATGCTCAGATCTAACATATGTAATTCGGTGGTTTTTGAATCCGTCTTCTCCCAGGAACGACCAGTACGTGAAAATTGTCACCCCTGTGGGTAGCCATGAGATGCTATTGTTTTTTTCCCCCTCTTTCTCTTTGCTTTTTCAAGATTAGAAAGTTCAATCCAGTGACGGAACTAGAAAGGTGGGCTAACTTTCAAAAGACCCATGTTCTCCTGAAAAAAACAACAACAACCCAACACCATAGGACAGTTCCAACTTCACAGGACGACGCTGACGACAATGGGATACAGGTAGTCCTCAACTTACGATCACAATTGAGCCCAAAATTTCTGTTGCTAAGCAAGACGGTTTGTAAGCGAGCTTTGCCCCCTTCTACGACCTTTTCTTGCCACAGTCGTTAACTGAAACCCTGCATTTATTAAGTTAGTCATATCTGGCCTCCCCCCCCAATTGACTTTGCTGGCTAGAAGTTTGCAAAGGGGATCACGTGACCCCGGGACACTGCAACCGTCCTAAATACTTGCCAGTTGCCAAGCATCTGAATTTTGATCACGTGACCTGGGGGTTGCTGCAACTGTCATAAATATTAACCAGCTGCCAAGTGTCCAAATTTTGAGCATGTGACCCTGGGAGAATGCTGCGACGGTCATAAGCGTGAAAAATGGTCACAAGTCCCTTTTTTCAGCACTGTTGTAATGTGGAATGGTCACTAAGCTGAGGACTTCCTGTAATCGGTTGTTATGTTAGCAACGTTCAGTTTTGAAGACCGCTGAATCAAAGGAGGGCACTTGGCACGTCTTGTGTCTTATTTCTTTCAAGCTAGGAGGATAAAAAAAGTCTGCCTCTGTTTTGATTACATCTCTGTGATGGGAAATAATGGGGTGGAAAAATTAAACAGCTTGGAACAGCTGGTCCAGGTCAGAGAACACACAAGTCTCTGGAACAAAAGGGCAAAAAAAAAAAAATGTCAAATTTAAAAAGGGGAGGAATAATAAAATTGGGACAAGAAGATGAAAAGCGATATGCTCACTCCAGCCTTAAAAACAGGCGAAGTGTGGAAACCAGCTCTCGTTCTAATTCATCCAATGATTTCAAAAACCGGGTCAATCCAATTCAAATCCTTTAATCGGTGGTCAATGTAACATCCAAATCGATTTACTCAAAGGCTATTTGAGGAGCCAGGTAGAACAATTACCGCCCAGCGCAACCTCAAACATTCTGACGTAGCTATTATAGAGCTGCCCCATTAAACTTTACACCAGAGGTCCCCAACGCCCGGTCCGTGGACGGGGCTTTGCTTGTTTGCGCGGACCGGTTGCTGGCATGCTGCAGCCCAGTACCGGTCCACAGAACAGGGGTTGGGGACCCCTGCCCTACAGTTAAAAACAATCGGACAGGGAAACCTTTACTTTTTATGAAGTCTGCAACTGGCAAGCTTTCATCTTAAGAAGCCTTTCCACTCCTAAGAACGCGAGGGAAAAGGAATCGCCTTTGACTCAACGTTTCTGCAATGCACCAACTTAAGTGTGCACCACCAAATCACATACCACGGCTTTCTTCTGAAGTTTTTTTTTTTCCCCACCTACGCAAATCTATGCAGATGGAACTGATCCATCAGCTAAAGAATAACGCCATGGGCCATTTGGTAATCGAGGGCACGGCTTTAATATCCACAGCTTACATCAGAATGTGATGCAAGTTCTGCTGGATTAAATCCCCAAGTGCTTCTTGCCCTGCTCCAATCCCTGCGGGGGCCGAATGAAAATAGGATACGAGTCTCTTTTCCTAACAACATTCCTTGGGAATGGAGGCAGAGTTTTGCCCTCCAAACTTGGAATTTCTATTTAGCTGTACTATAGCAAATCATTGCTAATCAGACTGTATTGGATCAAAAAGAAATCTGATCTAAAATCAATTTTTTTGGGGGGGGGAGAGGGGAGCTTGTTGGTGGTGAAATTTGCCTTCACAAATTAGGCTCCCTCGGAGAAGTTGCATCTAAAAACCCTTTTATATTTGGGAAAGGGTTAAACAATAGTATTAAAAAAACATCTCAAAGAGATTTATTAAAACCCTAGAAGAAGAAAATGGCCAGATTTCTCCTGGAATTGCAACCTCACCCATCCATCTTAAATGGTCTCAAGTGGTGTTCGGCAAGACCTTGGGCATTCTTCTGATAAAGTTATTACTTTGCTCTCTCTCCTCCCCCCTCCCCCCAAAAGCTCTAAGGGATGAAATAATTAAGATAAGAGATGAGTCAGCAAAAGCATAGTTTGTGCTGAGGTTACGATCGCAAAAAAAAAAGAAAGAAAGAAAGAAATCCTTCTCTTTTGGAGCACAGGCAAACTGCCAGATCTGAAGGCAGAGATGGCGAAATCTCGCCCACAAAAGGCTGCATGAACAAGAGAGAGAGAGAATCAAGCCTTGGTGAGGCCACCCTTGGAATCCTGCACCCAGTTTTGGTGGCCACAATATAAAAAAGTCGTGGAGACTCTGGAAAGAGTGCAGAGAAGAGCAACAAAGATGATTAAGGAGCTGGAGGCTAAAACATATAAAGAACAGTTGCTGGAATTGGGTATGTCTAGTTTAAAGAAGGACAAGGGGGGACATGATAGCAGGGTTCCAGTATCTCAGGGGCTGCCCCAAAGAAGAGGGAGTCAAGCTATACTCCAAAGCACTTGAAGGCAAGACAAGAAGCAATGGATGGAAGTAATCAAGGAGAGAAGCAACCTAGAACTAAAGACAAACTTCCTGACAGTGAGAACAATTCAGTGGAACGGTCTGTCTCCAGAAGTTCTGGGTGCTCCATCACTGGAGTTTTTAAGAAGAGACTGGACAGTCATTTGTCTGAAATGGCTTAATCTGAATCCCACCACCAAACTCAGAGACCACCCAGGAACGCACAATCCTCCCCCCTTCTACTCCGGAAACCCCACTCCCTTCTCACACTGATGGTGTTACCTAGTTGGGTCATGAAAGGTCTGCAAGCAAACCACCAAGCTCAGAGAACACCAAGGACTCCTCATTTCAACCCTCAGCTACAGATATTCTTCTTTATTGGCAGTGGCTTTCCCTGTAGATGTGTATGTAAACAGAGAGCAAACCCTTCTAACACTGATGATGTTACCTAGTTGGGTCATGAAAGGTCTGTAAGCAAACCACCGAGCTCAGAGAACACCAAGGGAGCCAACAACCCTCTTCCTTCTTCTCCCCTTATCAACACACCCCACTTCCTTCTTCCTATGATGATGTTACCTCCTTGGGTCATAAAACATCTGCAAGGAAACAACCACGCTCCACAGTTCTCTTCCTCCTACTCCCCCTTCCTCCCCTCCTCCTCCTCTCCGCACACCCCACTCCCTTTAGCATGGATGATGTTATCTAGTTAGGTCATGAAATGTCTGCAATAACCCCCCCAAGCTCAGAGAGCACCAAGGGGCCCTTGTTTCAACCCTGAGCTGCCAATATTCCCTTTTTACTGGGAAGCTTTTAAATGTTTCACACGGTCCTTCCTGCAGCTGCAAAAGTTAGGAGCTGTACCCCCCCCCCAGCGAGAAAAACAGATAAATATTTCTCCTCCTTCCAAAGCTTCAAGCTTCTGTTGCCTGCCTGTCTTACAAACATCCTGCTGCAGAGTTATTCCTTTCTTAAAAAAATAAAACTTAAAAAAATAATAATGCCACAGCCTTGCTCACTCCACGTTTGTGACAGCCACAAGCCTTTGCCTACCAGCCAGAGTGGAGTCCGTGCAGCTTATTTCTAAAAAAAGAAAAAGAAGAGAAACACAAGTAGTCCTTGAGTTACGACCACAATGGAGCCCAACATTTATGTTGCTAAGCGAGACATTTCTTAAGTGAGCGCCGGCCCATTCATTTTACGACCTTCCTTGCCTCAGTCGCTAAGAGAATCGCTACCGTGGTTAAGTCAGTGACACAGCTGTCCAATGAAGCCGGCTGCCCCCATTTCATTTTGCTTCTCAGGTCGCAAAAGGGGATCGCGTGGCCCCGGGACACGGCAACCGTCGTAAGTACATGCCAGTTGCTGAGCCTCTGAATTTGGATCACGTGATCCCGGGATGCTGCAACGTCCCCTATGATCACTGTTCAGGGCGAAAGACGGTTCTTAAGTCGCTTTTTTTTTCCAGTGCCCTCCAAACGGTCACTAAACAAACGGTTGTAAATCAGGGACTGCCTGTGGAGGGCCGTCTCTCTCTTCCACCCCACCCCATTAACGCACTTTGCAGAACAGGGCAAAGGGTTAAAGCTGAAGGATGCAGGAGGA